CCCTCCCATCTTTCCCCCCCCCCCCCCCCTTCTCCCCCTCCTAGAAAAATGGAAACCCTCTTCCGGCTGATGAGGGAGATGAGGAACACTGGGGACGACCGCATCGTTGTTGTGTCCAACTTCACGTCCAGCCTCGACCTCATCGGCTCCATGTGCCGAGAAAACTCATGGTGATGTTTGATTGTTGTGTCATGTTCTCGCAGCCTGATTGCGTGCGTTATGACCCCGTCCGGTAACCGGTCCCCAGTTGATTCGCCTATTTCATCCTCTCCCTGACCCGGCGAGAGCCCGGCTTGTTTTACAGATATTGGATGCGTGGTCTGATATGTACCGTCAGGTGTGATGAGAAGGAACCTCCGTTGAATTCATGTGTCTGTATCTTGGGCTGGCAATGGCGGTGCTAGGAGTGATGTCAAGAAGAGATGACGACCATGGTCAAGGAACGGTAGAATCGAGAGGCTAGAATTTTTGTATCCCCCCCCGTCCCCCCGTCCCCGTCCCTCGGTGTTTGCCATCGGGGTGGGGTTTTCGTCGCTTGGCAACGACGATGTAAAAGAGGCCGCCCTCCCCCGGTGTTTGCTTTCGGGGTTGGGTTTTCGTCGCTTGGCAGCGATGTTGTAAAACAAGCCGATCACTTCGTGAGCTCGGCAACCAGGTTACAGTTTTTTTTGTTTTGCCCTTGTTTTTTTGTTTTGCGGTAGCCATAAATGGTGGTCGAGTGGATTATCTTGTGCGGGGTCGAGGACCCTCACTCCGCGCAAGGGGGATGATCGCACCACGTTGTGTTAAAATGGTCAAGCATCCTCGAGGCAGTTAAACAGTGCTTACAACTGTCTCTGGGAGTGAAAGCACCAGAAAATAAATTAAGTCACACGCAGCTGTCATCCGTTCGCAAGGAAGTAAGCACAAGATGCCGAACACCCTTAGCAGGATGCAGCGCACCTTCCACACGACTCGCCGAATACCTCACGGCGCTTCACGCTTGGTGATGTGAGAGCCTGGTCCGGTGAGAACCCGGCGTGCTCCGTCCCGGCTTTGTAGGGATGCGAGGTCAATGGTCTAACGACTACTATACGGCATGCACGACTATGCGTACACCCCCCCTCCATTGGTCACTGGTTTAACGACTACGGCATGCACCGA